CTTTGGTTACAAAAATAATATTTCAAATAAATTCTGTTTTTTATTTCTATTTTTCAAAGAATCCTGAAAAATATTTTGCAGCACAGTTGTTTTCAACACTGATAATACAAAAAAGATAAAAAATCAGCATATTAGAATTTCTGAACGATTATGTGACACTGAAGATTCAATTCTTCCATCACAGGAATAAATTGCATTTTTAAAAATTAAAATAGAAAATGCTCATTTTAGATTGTAATAATATTTCACAATATTACTGTTTTTACGGTATTTTAAATCAATTGAATGCAGCCTTGGTGAGCATAAGTGACTTCTTTAAAAAACATTTTTGACCCCAAACATTTGTGTAATATCTTTGGGATCAACGTTTTTTAAATTTTTAATTCATTAATTTAAATTCAATTTGAGATTTACAGCTAAATGCATACCCCAGGTAACCAGTTACTGAGTATTTCACTAGTGTGCAGATTTTCATGAGCAAGCCTATGTTAGACCATTTTTTGAAAGGTATTGATCTAAAATTAAGTACCTGTATTGCTTAGTTGGAAGTCCATTGTCTGGAACCAGCCGGTTTGAGCTGTGGGGCTGCTACGGTGACCGAGAAGTGCAAAACAAATCACAATTCTGAAAACAAAATAACAAATTACAAACGCAAATGCAAGTCTAAATAACAAAATAACAATTCAGAAAACATAAGTCAGAAAACACAATGACAAATTCGAAAACAAAATAACAAGTCAGAAAACACAACGACAAATCTTTACGATGTGATACGAGATTTGAAAAGGGAGAAAAAAAAAGTTCGGCAAAAGGCAAGATCGAACCCGGGTCGATCCTGTCAAAAAGCCAACAACACACGCTTATCCATCTGCACCACTGGAGCTGATGTTATACAGCCACTTTTAACTAAATGTAAATATACACTCCATATTTTTTATTCCATAGTAAGGGCAATTCATACAATACATTTAAACTGAGCTACTTTAATACCATCTCCGAACTTTCTACCACGACTCTGCTGTTCTTCGGCTGGTTCTTCCTGTATACGTTGATTGACAGATGTCTCGTCCAGTCAGCGGTGAGTAATCCCAAACCAATGGCACTGTCTCAAACTATACCTACCTCTTCCGGTTTGTCTGATTTGTCATTGTGTTTTCTGACTTGTTAATTTGTTTTCGGATTTGTCGTTATGTTTTCTGACTTATTTTGTTTTCGGATTTGTCATTGTGTTTTCTGACTTGTTAATTTGTTTTCGGATTTGTCGTTATGTTTTCTGACTTATTTTGTTTTCGGATTTGTCATTGTGTTTTCTGACTTGTTAATTTGTTTTCGGATTTGTCGTTATGTTTTCTGACTTATTTTGTTTTCGGATTTGTCATTGTGTTTTCTGACTTGTTATAATGTTTTCTGAATTGTTGTTGTGCTTTCTGAATTGTTATTTTGTTTTTTAGACTTGCATTTGCGTTTGTAATTTGTTATTTTGTTTTCAGAATTGTGATTTGTTTTGCACTTCTCGGTCACCGTAGGCTGCTCTTATCTTGCCTGACACAAAGCACTATGGGAGAGGGCGGCTGCCCCATGAGTCTGAATGGCTCCACCAGAGCTCAATGTGAAGCAGTTTCATACTGTTACATTGTTAGACAAATGACTTTGACCAGTGAACAAGGGAATGCATGTAGAAGACAGAAACTGAGCTTCCTAAAAACAGTAAATGGAAGATATCCTACATAATATTATACATACATATTATGTTTTAAATCCTTCATTTTTTTTTTACTTTAAAATCTATATTGAAATATGGAGCAGTTTCTCACGTCATCTCATTTTAATTAAATTACAATTTCCTTCCCTCATCCCACATTTAAAGTGAGTTTTCCATGTTTTCACACTGAAAGCTTCTCTTAATCACATCCAGCTGTTCTAAAGAGATGCTGGATTTAGGTGTCTGTATTGATCTCTGTTTTGCTTTGTTGCTTTTTATTTACCCTTTACATTTGGTCTTGATAGATTCAGTAGATAAGACCTCCACTGTGATGCGAAATCAATCGATGTGGCCTCTAGACGGAAGCATCTCTAATGTTATACACATTTGTCAGGAACCTCCATGAGTTGTATATGTGCAGCTGGCTGAAAAAGAAACAAAGAAAGGAAATTGTCCATTGTATTGGATTTCTTGACCTTTGCAATCAAGGAGCACACAAACCATTAAATACAGTTTACTCTCTCGCTTGACCTTTAAAACAGGGGTGCTCAGTCCTGCTCTTCGGGATCTACCTTCCTGCGGAGATCAGCTCTAGTTGTAATCAACACAGTCTTAAATAATCAAGGTTTTGGGGTTCATTTGAAAATGACGTGCAGGTGTGCTGGAACAAAGTTTAAAAGACTTATCATTCAGAAAATATTGTCGATAACTGTATTGACACTAGGCTATCGGATGAGATTAATGGAGCTGAATAATGCTGCTATTGTCTCCTTTATAGCTGAAATTAAAGTTGTTTCAGAATTGATTAACTTTCCAACATTGACACTGTTATTTTCCTGTTTATTACTATGAAGCTGCTTTGAAACAATCTGTGTTGTATAAAGTGCTATATAAATATGTGACTTTGCATTATGTTCGATTTCTAGGTACGATTTTGATGGAGCGGGTCAAATTGACCCTAACTGCATTCAATGCAATTCCCTAAATATCATATTATTAAAAACAAGAAGGAATCAGGAATGAACGGAACAATTTTAATATCAGTATTTGTCACACAGTACAAACAATTAATATTAAAAAGTATGATTTTTTAAAATGTGTTTAACCACATTTTTTAACCCCTTAACTGTTACCGTTCCGCTGGCAGAAGTTTACTTCTATATTACTATATTCTATAATACTATATTACAGTTAAATCCTAATCTAATCATGACAACCTATATATTGTTGGAAAGGTCTAAGACACCTAAATAGATATTTTACCACTGTTTTTTGTTACAAATTATGTGGTAACAGTAATAGAATAATTTATGACAAGAGTGCACCTCAAAACATATACATCATAATAGGAGTTCTGACCTTTGTCACAAAAATTATTTTTTCCCTATCACGTTTTAGTAATCACTTTAAAATGTTTTAAAGTAGGGTCAGTTGTAAATGAGAAAAAGTCACAAAATATCAAGAATAAAATCACAGGTTAACTGGTATTTCCGACAGCTCAAAAAAAGAGTCAAATTGACCCAGAACATAATACAAGGGTTAAATAATATGACCAAATTTTGAATAAATATTCTTGTACACTCACAGTATTCAGTGGGCGATACGTTTTGTGGTCGATCAGTGTGGGTTTTTCAATGGTAGAGTCGTATATGATTACATTGTCTGCCCTCAATCCTATGTATATGATAGTACAGTGAGGGAGAGTGCAGCAGGGGAACTGTGTTGGTGGTGTGGGTAGGAGCTGCTGAGAGATAGGCTACATAAAGGAATCCCTGCCTACATCACAGTCAGGCACAGACCCACGCATGAATTGCGCAGTGCCCACTGCTGTACTCATCTCATCTGATCCTCCTCCAGTCCTTGGGTGATAGTTGCACTAAGAGTGATGTAGTGATGATGATGCTGGGAATACAACCATAAAGCAATGTTTCTCAAAACAACAAAAGACATCATCTATCCTTTGATTTACATATAGTTTTGTAATTTTTTTACACAAAAATGTACTATTAAATGTCTCTAATAAGTCGTTTATAAAATATTAAGAAATTAATAGATGAGTAAATGATGTATTTTCTTATAATTTCGTTTTAACATCCTCTCCTTTCAATTTAAGTTTTTTGTATGGCGTTTTCACGATACGTATTATTCCACAGATAAATATTAACTATTAAATATTATTAATTCGTACTTTCTAGTAATAATGAATCTTTTAAGCGAACGAATCGTTCGAATTTATTTCCTCTTTTTTTTGTTGTTCAGTGAAGTCACACCTTTTTTGCGTGAACAAATAGCATTCGAGTGCAGGTTGCAAAGGAGAATTTCATTGGTTGAACCTACAATTTCACTGAACGGGTCACTGTTTTGAGCCTGAACGAAACTAATTTGTGAAAGAACTGAATGTATCTTGTCTGGTTTATGAGCGAGGGTTAATTTGCCGTCAGATTGAAAAAATAACGTTTTTCGTTCAGTTCGTCGAGTCATCATTTACAGTAATGAATAAAATAATTGTGTGAATAAAAAGACTCATGACTGTACACAATTTAAATGACATAAAAATCTAATTTAATTTTAGATTTATAATTACTATTTAATAACTGAATTAAGCTATTACTGTGGATTATTTTCTATAGCTTGTTTAAATGAATGTCCTCCTGATGAATAAAATTAAGAAAAGATAGGTTTGCTTTGCTCATATATATCAGTGAAACATATGAGTTTTTCAGTAAACTTGTAGGCACGAAAATTTTAAAGGATAATGACTTGTTTTAGTGAGGGTTAGGGTTTTAAACTCGGTGTTTTTTACAGAATCGGTTCAATGAATGATTCAATGATTCGCTCATTGTCGCCACCTACTGGCGAACGATGTAAGCTGAAGAATGTGAATGGATCTTTTTAGTGAACGGGGTACGGGGATTCAAAGGTTCAGTTTATTGAAATGAATAAAAATCCCCCCACTAAAGAGTGGGTTCAAGAATCCAAACGTTAAGGAAACAGACTGTTCCTGACATCCCTCAACACAGCTTAGCGTCGCGCCAAACTTGAACCTTATTACGACAACAGTAGCTATACACTGCAAGCACGCGACACAATGTTGTAGTAAATGATCTCACGTCCGCAGCTCTGTCACTGTCCCCGTTCTGTGGTCACGCGAAAGCTCCTATTATAACCAAGGAGGCTCTTCCGTCGCGTCGCGCCGCTCGCTCGCTCGCTCGCAGCGTAGAAGGTGAAAGAGGAGAGGCGGAGTCCGTTTGAATAGCAACCGCAGCTCCAGTGACGAGGATAAACGCGTACTGTGGATTCCCGCCACTCCGGCGGCTGCGCGTGGGCATCAGTGAGAGAGTTCCATATAAAAGCTCCCGCATCCTCCTCTGTCTCTGACACTCTCTGTTTGAATGATACAGTGTCTCCTCCTCTCCTCCTCCTGTGTTTTCTCGGAAACATTTTCCTGCCGTATAAATTCAATTGTCGTCTATGGTTCTGACTCAAGCTTCCAAAATGTCCCGGACCGATGAGGTGCACCGTATAACGGAGAATGTCTATAAGGTGAGTTTCATTATTATTGCCTTATAGTTGTATATTTATATTTTTCTGCATTAATTATATTCTATGTTTTCTGTGGCAGATTTATTAATTCATGGTGTAAACTTAATACAAAATTTAAATGTAAAGGCTTTCTTTTTAAAAGTTGGTTGCTGATGAATAACTTGCTTTAAAGGGACAGTTCACTCAGAAATGAACATTCTGTCATCGTTTACTCACCCTCATGCTGTTCCAAACGTGTCACTTTCTTTTCTGGGACACAAGCTGAAATCGTAGGCAGTATATGACGGACTGACAGCCTCTGTCACCAATCACTTATTGCATTTTTGTAAGTAGGCCTACAATATAAGTGAATGGGGACTGAGACTTATTAAGACAGAATTTAGATTTTGCAGTGAACTATCCCTTTAAATAATGCAAACTAGAGGCTCATGTAATTAAAAGCAGAAATAGCTGGTTTCAGTGTAGAACCAGTTTAGCCAAATACTTGAATCTGTCCTGGGACACGTGAGTTTCGGGTGCCTAGTCTGATTTCATCACTTGTATGTGTAGAGAATAAAAACATTTCAAGAGTTTACTTCTGTACATTTCCTCTAGTTCTTTAGTCTTGTAGTTCCTTCATTTTTGGAATTTGTTAAAAGCTTAATTGATAACTGTTTGCCCTGGCTTTGAAGGTGTTAGTGTGAGTGTGTTTGTAACCATGGATTTGTTTAGCTCTAAATGAGTTCTCGGTTGGTAATGTGGTATGAAACTGGTTGTGTAAAACAGATGGAGCATATCTGAGTCCCATCAGGAAAGAGTGACTAATGCACTTCCATGGATCCCCACTGCACACGCATACGAACGTCGTTTACTTCTTTTCTCTGCCAGCATTTCCCTCGTGAGCTCACGTCTGTTGTAGCGTACCTCTTTGAAACCACCTGACTCACCAAACTAAACCTTGGTGGCTGCTGAGACTGACCCAGTGAAGCGTGTTAGTTCAATCCTGCAGACATCTGTTAAGAGACTTTAATGTTTAGGCTGTTAATTCCAACCCATGGAGCTAATATCCTTGGCTAGAGAATGAAGGGACACTATTATTACTTGGACAGGGGCGGCGTTTTTCTGAGCTTTTAAGTTTTCTTTGGGGTCAGAGGAAAACTGCAGGGAACAGAGTGTTTTTGCCTGAAACCAAATGTGCTTTAAGGCGATATTTGAATGTGATATGTGAAAATGAGACATCATGGCATATGCAAGACATTTCATATATGGGATGACAAATATCATGCACTCTTAAAAATAAAGTATAAAGTATAAAATAAACAAAGAACCTTCTATCGCCACAAAGAAACTTTTGTGAAACAGAAAGGTTCTTTGGATGTTAAAGGTTCTTTATGGAACCATTTAGACAAAAAAGTTCTTCTATGACATCGTGAAACACCTTTATTTTTAAGAGTGTGCACATTATCAGTCTATGTTTTTAGATGAAAAAGGGGAAGATTTTCTTCATTTTAAATATCCTTTTACTTTTTTTTTTAATTAACAGTAAATAACATGAGGTAATAAAATTGTATGTATTATCATTAAATTAATATTAAAACAATATAATATATAATTTTTCTATATTATATAATATAGCCTAGTCTGAAAGTGTAAAATAGTTTAAAAAGATAATAAATAGGTTTAGATGAACTATGCATGTCACACTGCATGTTATATAATTTTTTTTATATTAGAAAATATATGATAATATATATTTTAAAATGCTTGTTAGTGCTTTTTTGGAGTCAAGTTAAACAATGAACTTTAAACTATGACTTTCCATGACAGAGTTGGCTGCTTACCATTTAGCCCAAAGTGTGTGTATATATATATATATATATATATATATATACAGTTTATATATATATATATTTTTATTTATTTTTTTTTATGTGTGCGCTAGCATACATATACTATGATATGTATAGTATGGTATATAATTGCAGGCTTTAGAAAAAAAAACGTGATTAGTCAAACATGTGCCTGTGTGTTAATAAGGAAATGGAAACCACATTTGACAGGAGTGCATACAGTATGTAAACTAACAGGAATGTTGCTCTAACTTGGAAAGGCTCTTGTGAGGTTGAAGTCAAAACGAGGTCATGATAATATCTGAAGAAGGAAGTTCGTTGCCTTGTACTGTAAGTCTTTCTTTGAATGTGGAGATACATTTTTCATGAGCTTATAGAAAAGTTGTGTAACCGGGCAAAAGAAAAGCTTTAGTTTAATAACTGGGCGTTTCTTGACCACATAATCCTTCTTCAGGATTATTTTGCATGCATTAGTATTATCTTCTTGTCGAAGGCAGAAGTTTTAGAGTATTTACAGTGAAACCATTTCCAATATTATGACCTTTGATAAAAATCTTTTTTGACATTTTCCTGCTGGATTGTACTTGATTGATTGTTTTAGGATTAACTAAAGACATCAAGCATATGTATTTCCAATGTTCTCTCATAGATAGGATGATTGTAAGTAGGATGAAGCCATAGAATTCACTACCTCAAAACCTATATTAAGACACTTTAGAAAGTAATCAGTGGTAGCCAGCTCAAAGAAAAATTAATTTAAACCTCTGTGGATCATTATTTCAATGTCCTGTAGTATTGGAACTCAAGTCATGACCAATGTTACCTCTAGCTTTGAGCATTGAGGTCGTTTTGTCCTTTCACACTCTTAAGTGGGAGGATATTCATTCCTCATTGGGTCTCTTGGCTTCTTTAGGCTCTGTGATTTGTATAATTATGGGTATTGTGAGGCCACAGTGGGGTTCTCTATTATAAGAAATAAAGAGACAGCGGAGGCAGCGGAGCGATAAACTGCACTCACAGATAGAAGAATGAAGTAGTGGGCCATTTGACAGCATCAGGCATCATCTTTCACATCAGCGGTTCTCAACTGGAGGGTCGTGACCCAGAAATGCTGGTCTGTTCTGTCACAGACAGCAGGACAAAAATGCAAATCATAAAATACAATGTAAGGTTATCATTCATTGTTGAGATGGCAAAATAAATGGGCTTATCAGCTTTTAAAAGGGCAGAGGAAATGGTCCCTGTATCTTTAGTTGTTGACATCAAAGGTTGAGAGTCTGGTAAAACTCTACAGCAGGGGTGTCAAACCCAGCTCCTGGACACCCACAGTCCTGCAGAGTTTAGCTCCAACACAACAACCTGCTTCAACACATCTACCTTCAGTTTTAAAGTAATCCTAAAAACCTTGATTATCTGGTTCAGGTGTTTTAATTAAACTCTGCAGGGCTGTGGTCTTCCAGGAACTGGGTTTGACATTCCTGCTCTATAGTATTTTGTAGTGATGTAACTGAAATTTTGGCAACCAATAATAAAAAAATATATATATACATAAAAAAAAAAATGTATAAACTTACAAATGTATAAATTTCCTAGTCTGTTTAGCCGATTAATGTCAACATTTTGTTGATAGGCCATTGAAAACAATGA